CTATCACTTTTATTTTTAATAAACTAATTAATTATTCGGCAATACTATTTTATTTTATTCTATTTGTTACTCTCGTAACACTACTTTATTTCCTCTGACCTTTTGTTCCCGCAAACATCCTAGTTGGGACAATCCACCCAAGTTCTGTTCAGGACTTTTTATTCTTTTTGATATTTTATTCATTTTTTTATCAAATTAAACTATATTACATTAGCTTTAATTTAAGGTATATATAAAAGTGTCAGTCTTTCCGGAACATTTTCAAAAGTTAAGTTGAAAAAATTAATTTTGTGTAAAAAAGTTACCATTTTGAAACCTTTTCTGTGGGCTGGTAAAGGGTCAAATGTTCACAAAAATATATAAAATGATAGGTAAATACCTAAGGTATCTATAAAAAAAATATATAATCATTCGGTTATTTTTAAAAAAGTTATTGCAGGTTTAAGTAAAAAAAATGGAATAAATGTCGAAAATTAGCGATTTTTAAATTTGTAATTTTTGGAAGATTTCCCCCGTTTACGGGAAACGATGGAATTTTTTTCAATTTTTGAGGATATCAAATAATATAATGTCTTCGACTAGATACGATTTGTGATCTTTTGACATATTTTTCATCAAAATCGGTCCGGCGAGAGCTGAGATTGAACGCATACAGAAACAAAAAAAAAATAAAAAAAAAAAACACATTATATTAAAATTAATACCTTTTTAGTTTCGCATCGAAGCTAAGAATATTGAAAAACTCGATGTGGTGGTAATATGTATTTATTCCAATTTTTGTCTGTGCAACTTTCATCAAGAATACCAACTATTACATTCGCAATGTAACGACCCTCTACATCAGTCATCTCATCAATACTGACCTAAATTTTATTGTGTGAAATAATTTTTCTTATATAGTTAACAGTATCACTATAAATTTTATCTTCGTATCCTTTTCGTAACGTAGATTCGCTGGGAATTTCAATTTTTGTATAAATTTCCAAAAATTTTTTAATTTTCGATTTTCTATTTTATTTAAAGGAATATTAGCGGAAATAATAGCCTCGCACAAATCTTTGTTGAATGATGATTTTCTATTACTTAAACTGTTGCTGTATTCAATAAATTTGATTTTCATATCGGACAAAGCCTTTCATATATTTGTCACTTTTTAAATGTTGTGATACATTGAACTTTTTATCGGAATTAACTTAAATTTCACAAATTTTACAAAACAATACACTTGAATCGATTGAAAATATATTAGGATCAAATTAATTAATATAAGATTGTAGACGACTCAATAAATTTTATTTACTTTTGGAATTTTTAAAACAATTAACACGCCACTTTTCAAATAACGCAGACACAACACATAAAAATTATGATGGGACACTAAAAATTGTAGTCTAAAATAAAAACATTGTATATGTAGGTAATATGGAGGTAACGCCAACACCAATATAAATACGGTGATGCCGATAATAGTAGTACGTTTGACAAGAAATGACCAAATTATTGTAAATGATATGAATTGTATTATCGACAACAACAATCGAATACATCACATTAGAAAATCTAAATACTTGTTAATTTTTGTTTTTACATTCATATTTATGTGTTAGTATAGTTTTTTTTCAATAAAATTTTGGTTATTTCAGATATATATATATATATATAAAATCTAGCTAAAAATAGCACTTAAATCTAAAAATTAGCAAAATATGCATTTGCTAAAACTTCCGAGCCCTGTTTATATCTATTCCTGTTATATTCATTTTATATTATTAGTTGTTTGACAACATTCATGATTTTTATAAGATAGTTTGGGCTTTAACAATTGATAGACATGTCCTATTACGTAGATACTGTAATANTGATAGACATGTCCTATTACGTAGATACTGTAATACTACTTTATAAATAATACAACTAGTCTGATTCTTGTAATGTTTTATTGAGAATTTTATGTTTAAGCTATTATTTAATTGTGAAGTGTTAGCAAAGTACATTTATTAGCTTCGATGCGAAGCTGAGAAGGTATTGGTTTTACTAAGATGTGTTTTTTTTTTTTTTTTTTTTTTTTTTTTT